ATTAAGACCAGATTAACACAGGCTGAGCAGGCAGTTCTCTGTAAGAGTAATCTATTACTCTGAAGGAGTAATCTGTTACTGCAGTGTGTGAGAACACCACCAGTGTATGAATGGATACAGCTGTGAATGATTGATTTCATGTTTTTATTATTATTGATGGAAACATTATAAACACCACAGACTTACAGTCTGATGAAAACAGCATCATAACTGTGATTTTAAATAATCACATTAATCAATAATTATAAAACAGGATTTCATGATAAAACAACTAAAAACCTAAAATCACAATATTCTACAAAAACATTAGAAGATCAGAAAAAATCTCATTCAGATGACTGAGAACCATTAAAACTCTCTCAATTATAATAAATAAATAATTGGTCCAAAAACTAGTGATGAATTCAAAGAACATATTTCTGGGAAAACATCCCCAAAATATGAATTAAGCATCATTAAAATGTTTTATTATAACTGAAAAATATGAATGAAAGAGTCAAATTTAAAGGGAATTATAAACTGTTTCTAAATGTTCTACAATTATTATAAATGATAAATATAATGAACACACACATCTGTGACTATAGGAGAATGAACTCGTAATGTTGATGTTATGTTTCTAAGAATAAAAAACTGCACAAAAATAATTATTTCTGAAAAATCCAAACGCCTGAAACACGCTCTGAAAGTTTTCTAAAAAGGTGAATAATTACATTTTATTGCGAGGAAACAAACTCAAATATTCATATTTAATGAGAGAACAGCTCATTACAGTAATCTAAAGTAATAATCATTCTAAAAGAAGTTAAATATGTCTTAAATTATAAACTGTCAGGAAACAAAACTATTAAAATGTTCCCAAAATAACTCGAGAGTGCTAAACTTTAGAAAAATATATTTATAAATATGCAGAAAGTACTGGAAATATAATCACAAGTGTTTTTTAATCCAATAAATCTGAAAAATACTCCAACTACAAACTATCATTAAAAGAACAGTAATTATATTAAAGGTGAGGCTCACATTGAGTCCTGGTATGTTAAACACAGTAACACAAACCTGATACGCCGACACAGAAACAGGTGATTACAGGTGAAACTCTCTGATATCCTCACCTGTAACCAGCTGAGTCAGCTGACGTGATCATGTGACCTCTCTGAGCGGCTGTAATGAGCTCAGCTGATCATCAGGATCACTGTGAATATAACTTAGAGCTGACGAAGCCCCGTCCTGAAGCAGCGCCACCATCAGGTCACACTGAGAGTCGCACCTGTGTCAGTGTGTGTGTGTTCCTGTCTAGCTATATTTGTGAGGACCAAAATCTGCATCCTACTCTACTTGTGAGAACCAACAGTCACTTGTGAGGAGACACACACAACGGTGCTCGCACATTTAAAGGCATTGTTGAGGCTCAAAATGTGGTTTTGGTGTCAAGGTTACA